TGCTTCTTTTTTGGGAAAAAAAAGGTGGAAATAGGATCAAACATTGAGGGGCTAAATTGTTTTATATCAAAAGAACAAAGTTCTACTGAGTATTTAAATTTAAAAATTGGGATGGACAAAGGTCTTTTTTGACTAATATTTAAACTAAAAAAGGCTTAAAATGACATTATACTGAAAATTTTGGGAGTGGCTAGCCCTAATAGATTGGTCCCTGGTAGGGGTGGTTAAAAAATAATGGACAAGACATTGGAAAATGAGAACAGTTTGATTATCCTTGGGGTTGATTTGTTTGGCTGCCAAGTTTTAGTAAAATGGTTCCTTTGTTCTTTCTTTATCTCCTCCGTGTTGTTAATAATTTTAGCCTTTTAAAATTTTGGTACGTGAAGACTTTACATGTCTGGAAAATATGTATTTTTCTGTCATAATACAAAATCTTGTTTCCCGACCACCCAAGACCAAAGTTCTTGCTTTTCACTTTGGGTTTTCCTGTAAGGACGTGAAGCAGTGGATGTTATATATAGATTCTTCGTTTCACTTAAAGTAACCTGGTCAATCATCTGTGTCTGACATATATTCGGACGTGGTATATGGTTACAGTCTTCCAAATATATGAAAAATCTCACAAAAAATTGAGCATACCTGTATTGGACACATACCTACATCCAACACTCACTTGAGTCTGGGTTAACGTAGAAGGTAGTTGCATTTTAAAACCAGTATATCGTTTTAGATTCACATGTGGATTTATTCATTCAGAAAATTTTGTCATAGCTTTGATTAGATTTGCATTTTTTATTATATTGGCTTGTCCATGGTTGCATTTGCCCGAGTTTGATTTGTTTCTGGAAAGTCTGTTCTGCTAATTGTGCTAATTTTCTAATTCTAACTTTCTCGTTGAAATAATTTTAGGGAGTAGTCTACTGGAAACCACCCAAACAGGCATTGGATAAGGTCAAAGAACTTGTGGAGGATCCTTCGGTTAGTTGTTATGGTGCTGATGAAGGTCTTCCTGAACTTAGAGAAGCATTGACAAGAAAGGTATAGTTTCTAAAGAGTTTCTCATAAAATTGTGGTTCTCTTCGTTGTTATCTAATAGTGTGTAGAACTTGAAGACACTGTAGAATGCGGTTTCCACTATTATATTTACCATACCAATATATATTCATGGCAATGTGTTGTCATGTGCAGTTGCGCACTAGGTTGATACTTGGGCCTCTTTCTGGAATTTGGAAAAGATTATAGGGCCATAATTTTGTTTGTCTGGGTTTGATTGGCAGCTGAACCAAGCTTCCTATTGGCATTGTCTTGTTCGATAGGTGTTGAGTCTTGATTGACTGGCCCAAGTCGCTGTTCATTTTCTTGACCGGTTATTCCTATCGAGACTATCAAGCATTGGTCCAATTGTTTTAGTTGGCTAAAATTGTCCTTGTTAGTTGTTACTTTCATCAATGGCTCTGTTTTGCATACGGTTCCTCTTTTTACTGCCCTCACATTGCATTGAAATATTAGTCTAGGTGCATAGAAATGTTGATGCAGTCATTGCCATCTCATACACCAATTTCATATTGTTAATAACAATGTTATTGAGGCGATTTTGAAATTTATATTCTACATCCCATGTTCATTTTAACCAGAAAGCAGTAAAACTATGCTGGAAAATGATTCCCTTTATTTTCATGCAGTTGCGTCAAGAGAATAATTTGCACAAGTCTTCAGTGATGGTCACGGCAGGAGCAAATCAGGTAACCTGTAGTACCTTCTAGATTTTTTGTTGTTTGTTCTGTGTTGTGTTGAAGATATAGATAGACAATTTGCAACTAAGTAGGTGATATTTGCAATTACTTGTAGAAGAGGCTAGATGCTTAATTCTGCATATATACCCCTTCCCACTAATTTCTTGGTTTTCTAGCTTTCTGTGCTCAATCTTTTGCAAAATAGGTGCTTCTTTTGTTCAGTGCAATGGATAATAATTTCGTTCTACTGTTGGTTTAAACACTAAACCTGTGCTTCCTTTTGTTGGTCGAATGTAGAATCATCTATTGGGACTCCTTAAAACTACCTTTTGTTTGTGTTTGGCAGGCATTTGTGAATCTGGTTCTTACATTGTGCGATGCGGGGGATTCAGTGGTCATGTTTGCTCCATACTATTTCAATGCCTATATGTCCTTCCAGATGACAGGCGTCACTAAGATATTAGTGGGTCCTGGTAATCCAAAGACCCTTTATCCAGATGCAGGTGCGGGTCATGATAAGCTAATCATTAAATAGCACTTTAATCCTTTGTTGAAGCTGCTGCATTGCTTTTAGGGGTATAGTAAGTTCTCTATGATGTTCACCAAGATTATTGGTGAAAAAAGACATTGGTCTGTTCACTTGCAGCGCAGAACTTACTTTTTTTTTCTGGTTTTATGTGTTTGAGAAACGAGGACACAAATCAGAGCCTATTTTCATGGACTCGGTGTTGTTCCTGTTCTGTCTGTCGTATAAATTTGTAGTTACAAAATTGGTTGATTTCACTTGAAGAGCTTCTGTGGCCACTACAATTATGTAATAAGGGCAAAAATTCACATTCATAGCAAAGCACATAATGTATTATAATTTGGACTGGGAAAATCATGTGTGTGGTTCTAATTGATTTAACAGTGTTGTCTTGATTTGCAGACTGGTTAGAGAAGACATTGCTGGAAACTAAGCCTGTTCCAAAGCTTGTTACTGTTGTTAATCCTGGCAACCCATCTGGTACCTACATTCCCGAGCCGCTACTTAAGGTCTCTTTCTCTCTCCTGTGTTTGTGTCTTTGTATGGATTTGCCAGTGTCGGTTTCCTCCTGTTTGCATTGCTTTCTGGAATAACTGGCTCAGTTTCTTTTTTTATTTTAAAATTCTTACTATTTTCTTTTTTCCCCTATTCTTTTTCTCTTAATAGAGGATCTCAGACATATGCAAAAATGCTGGTTGCTGGCTCGTTGTAGATAATACATACGAGTAAGTCTCTTTTGTTTCTGTTATAAATGCATTCCATGTGATAGATTTTTGGTATATTTCATGAATGCCATGCACCCTGATGTAGTCGTTGAATTCCAATAATTGAACTGAAGGAGGCTTTGAGGCTCTAAGGATTTAATTTTTTTCATGGTAAGGGTAAGGAATTGTTCACATGCAGTCTAGGCTAAGCCAACCTACTTTAAATAAAACTCTGTTTTCTACAGAAAGAATTCTCTTTAAACAGCTTTGAATGAAAATATGCTTGCAGTCTTATCTTGGGGGCATTCCATACTTTTTCCATTCCTTTGTCCTGGGTTATGATTTGAACTTTAATTTGTTAAGGTAAATGTATGATGGAGTGGGATGAATCGACATCGAGAGGATTAGAAATTGATAACCGATTTCTTTTGGTAGTGTTGGTGGTTTTCCATGGATGCAGGATAGAGTTGCGGTTTAAGGATTCTTTTTTTTTTCTTTGCATTTTGATAAGCAAGGCTTTATATTATTTAAATGAGTGTTTTGTGTGGAAACTAGTGATTCTATATTTTCTATGACAACCCATATGCGCAGGTATTTTATGTATGATGGTCTGAAACACTCCTGCCTGGAAGGAGATCACATAGTCAACATCTTTTCTTTCTCAAAAGCCTATGGGATGATGGGATGGCGAGTTGGATATGTAAGTAACAAACACGTAATCTGATTCGTAGACTATATTTGCCAAAATGGTTTGTCTTGTATCCAATATGTTCTTCGTAATTTACCATGAAATATTTGTCTATCTAATCTTGTTTTCCGCACTTAATATGATCCTGTCTGAATGCATGCAGATTGCATACCCTACAGAAGTGAAGGGCCTTGCGACGCAACTCCTCAAGGTCCAAGACAACATACCGATCTGTGCTTCATTAATTTCACAGCGACTAGCCCTTCACTCGTTAGAGGTGGGACCTGAATGGGTTCGGGAACGAGTCAAAGATCTTGTGAAGAATCGAGAAATAGTTGTAGAAGCACTCTCACCATTGGGTGAAGGTGCCGTACAGGGTGGAGAAGGTGCAATCTACTTGTGGGCGACTCTGCCGAAGAAATACGCCGATGATTTCAAGGTTGTTCACTGGCTTGCTCACAGGCATGGGGTGGTTGTGATCCCAGGGAGTGCATGTGGATCCCCAGGGCATTTGAGGGTTTCCTTTGGTGGGCTGATGGAAAATGACTGTCGAGCAGCTGCAGACAGGCTGAAGAGGGGATTGGAAGAATTGGTAAAACATGGATTGGTGCGGTAAAAACTGTAACTTTACATTGAATTGAAATACAGAATTGTGCCCATTCACCAGTTTACAGTTATAAACTTGTTTCTTTTGAATAATTGAAGGGCTTGGGGTATCTATCTACCTGCAGAGTTGCTCAGGTGCATGTATAAATTGCACACATTGATGTTTAATACATGCAAATACTTCACAGATTTTGAAGGTTTGGTTATTATCTGTCTTGATTGTGAATAAATCAATGGATAAAGGGAACCTCAAATATCTCATTTCTCTATTTTCTTTCCTCCTCCTCCGTCCTCTCTTTCGCTAGCGGGACTGTATCTGTAATACCCACGTCTTCACATGTAACATTGAATCCATTCACAGAGAATAGTTTAGGCACTTACTTTTGCATTAAGCCACTATTTTAAGCTTCGTAAATTAATATGTTAACTAAATGTTGCAGTCAAAAGTGTTTCAGCCCCTGCATCAAATAAAGGGTATGTTGAAAAGGAGGAAGTACGTAGATCTCTCCTCATGGAAAAGGTATAAATATGTTCAATCTTTTACAACAAACATTTTATTCCCCATGTGCTCATAACAAGGCAATGCATCCACTGTCCTTTAAAAGAAAAAAGGTACAAAATTTTCAAATACAGCTTTATTCAATGACATCTCAATAGGAAAAAACAAAATAAAACCATATCGTGCAGGGAAGGGAAGGAACAATAATTAATTATCAACTGCAAACTATAAGAAGAAAAGCATAGTCTTCCTCGGCAGATTACAAAATTAACCCCATGACAATGACCAACATGGACACCAACAAATTGACAAGAACAACACCAGATGAAGATGAACCGTTGGAACCAGGTACCGATGTTGGGGGCGTGAAGCCAGCTGTTGGACCAGATGTCGGAGTAGGTGCGCAATCGGCGGGAGTGCCTGAAGTAGGAGAAGGTGTTGTTGGGGTAGTAGGTGAAGGTGCTGGCAGAGGAGAGCCAGAATCGGCCAAAACGGTAATGGCTAATCTTTGACCGACTTCACAGTGCCGCCCAAGTGTGCAAATGTAATATTGTTCGCCGGTGGAGTTGAGGGTTACGTTGGTCGGACCATTCGTGAGCATGTTTCCAATAGGGTTGTAATCGCTGCACTGGTCGAAGGATGCCCTGGGGACTCGTAGCACATCATGCTCATTCGTTGTGAAGTTGAACACTAGAGAAGTAAAACGAGAGAAATGACGAGTTCAATTCATTTTATTCTTTTGTAAAAATTACTTAAAAAAGAAAGAAAAAATAATAAGACGAGAGCTTTGTTGATTACCCAAGATATCTCCAACTAAAAACCTCTTATTAGCCGCCCAATTGCTATAAGCAGTGGCACCGTTGGGAGGGATGGTCCATCCCATGTCATCCCCCACAACATGCACCGTTTGCGCCGTCGTGAAATGCACAAAGACCACCGCAATGATGATTACGGAGAAAAGCATGCACATGATGAACCTCGCCATTAAATCTCTATCAACGTACTGTTCAATTTAACTATATATATAGCAGTAAATGTGGTGATGAGAAATATTAAACATTTTAAAGCCTATATATATACAGATATAAGCAGTTAACGTAGATACCAAGTCCACAAAGAAGAAAGAAACGCGTGGTGGCGGGCAAACGCTGACAAAAAGCATAAACACCGGTCTGTTTAGTACATGTCTGAGGGGTCCCTGCTAATCCCAAAGTATATAATTTCAACTTAACATTAGCCTGTCCATATTTATTATTGGACACCAAATCCTAAAACTTGCCTGTTATTCAAAAAAGCTTGACATTAGATTCTTCTGATATTTCGAGCATCTAATTTATCATTTTTTATATATAAATGTGTTTTTTTAGAGGAGACGATAGAAATTATTCAAGATCAAATCTTAAATTTAATGTTAATTAAATTAAAATAATATTTTATTGTCACACTTAGACTTGATAATAATTAAATAGGTTAATTTTCAGTTATTTTAATGTGATAATTATTTGTCTATTAAAAGTTGTTTAATTAAAAAATTCTCATTTATTTGGACATGACTTGATGGCTTATGCCTTTTCTTTATTCCAATTAAATCCGGAATTTTTCAACGAGGGGGTGGAGAAACTATGCAAAGAAAATATTGCAAGACTTCAATATGAAAATAAAATTTTAGTGTCTGTGTATTTCCCTCTAATTTGGATTATTGGACTCCAAGTCAGTAATACTTGAATTTTATTTAAAAAAATAAAATTATTTTATTAGTGTAATGAAATTTTAAAAAAAATTGAAACTCAATATTTATAATATATTCTTTCTATACATAATCTAGTTGTTTTTTCCTTTAAGAAAAATGGTAATAAAACTCTTCTTTTTTCTTTTCAAATGAACTCGGAGGATTCCGTGTGCTTGAAGCTTTATTGGGTCATATGAATCTCTTATTTTCCCTAAAGTCGGGACTTGGTAATTACAGACGAAATCAGATCTTCCTCATAAATGGTAAGGAACGTTGTTGGCTCCAGCGTACACATTGGCCTCTTTTGACAAAGCTCTTGCTCATTGATTGAACGTGTTTAATGCTCCTTTGAATTTTAGGAATAGATCCCACACGTACCATTTTTTTTAGTCTAGAATGATAATAATATAGTATCTGTTCATAATTTTCTTAACCTATTGACAATGCGCATATATCTTACAAACGTCATTATTCGAATCCAAGACCTCTAGGAAAATCAACATTTCACCACTTGATGGGTTCTATCTCCTACAATTCAATGACACTAAAATGTATTCAAGGATATACTGATTCTAATGCTTAATTCCGTAGGTGTGAAGGAATATCAAGCGAGAAGTTAATTTGGTAGAGTTCCAATAGGGCCGTGAATGATGAAATGATTCCCGCAAAGTCATATCCAACACCGGCTTATTGCCTAAACAACAATATCCATGTCACATACCATATTATGTCCAATTTGAAACTTGAGCGACTAAACAAAAGTTAAGAGTTGCAGATGCCTACAATCTAAGCTTTAGATAAACAAATGCTGCGAAGTTCGAAAACTACTTCTTACAGCAATCAGATCTAGTACCAACAGAAATAATGTTACATTCGTCCACGGATTCACCTATGTTACACAGGTAAACAGATAAAAAGTACAGTACAAACAGGCTAGGTAGGATACTAGATGGGTACATTTAGCGAGGTTGTTGAACATCAGTTTGGCCACTTGGTTTGACGATACCATTTTCAGTAACCTCGGCAACTACTGCTTCGCCTTTCTCCTCTACCTCTACATTACACTTGCAGCAACTCCTCTGCAACTTGCTTCTCCTTGGGCTCTCCCTCAGTTACAGGGATTTCTCCATTAGCTTCCAATGTCACAGGTGCTGGCTTTTCTGACTGCTTCATGCATGATCCATTCTCTTTCTCTGCCTGATTCTGTGGTACTTCCTCAATAGGGGCTTCCCCCTTTTCTTTTTCAGTTTGAGTTCCATCATTGCAACTAGCTTCAGCAGATTTCTCTTGAACTTCTATTGGAGTTGGGGCTTCTTCGGCACCAGCAGCCTCTTCTCTTTTGTCATCCTCTGCGGTTTCCGGTATTTTAACATCTGTATCAACTTCTTGCTCAGCTTCATACATCTTGACATCAGTGTGACCAGTCTGGTCAGTCGCTTCTGTTTTACCTCCATTGTCAACCTGCTGTTCAGTGGAAGTACCTTTTCCTTTTTCACTTTCCACGGTTTCCTTCTCAACAATATGTTCATCTTCCTTTTCACTTTCTTTCTCACCCTCAGGTTTCTCAGGAACGGCCTCTGTTTCCTCGTGTTCCTTCTTCGCAATCGATGATTTCCGGCCACGCTTCTTTGGGGGTTCCTTCTCTGGTGTTGGAGTAGCCTTGGCCTTTTCACTGATCCTTGATGATCTTCTGGGGGTCTCACCAGTACCCCAATCAAACTCTGATAATGGAGGATTCCCAGGGTGTGATTTTAGATACTTCTCCAACTGTTTCCTGTTACTAATCTCCTCCCCAGTTGGTGCAACGAACATGATCTCGGTCTTCCTTGGTGAACCAACTTTCTTGGGGAAAAACTGAAAATTCAACACAAAAAAAAGGCATGTTACACAAGAAGCATAACAGCCAGCAAATCGAATAAGATAATAAGCATCTGTGTTGTTTCAGAAATGCTGCTTTCTTTCCTAGAATTCTCAGAACATCCCAGTAAGACATTATTGCCTCCATTATGCACAATCCGGCTTGCAAAGGAAGAAAACATCCTAATAAAACATTTAAAGTATCGGTTTTTTGCCTAATCAACTAACAGAGCACATTATAGAAAAAGTTCAATGAAGTTCTTCCAATTCGCAGCAATAAAATACTGAACAAAATACGACATGGTGACAGAGAATTGTGAATCTTATTAGCTACAAACCTAGATTCATCAGCAGATGCAGCAGTGAGCAAGGTCTCAGTTCTCTTCCTTTATTTCTCTACTTGTTTGAGTAATGAGTAACATCCAAACTCCAATTGCAACAAACACAAAACATACAATTAAATGCATGTATGGATATACTCTCTAGAATTACATATGAAAAACATTTTGCATATGCAACACTCCAAGAAAAACAGTTTCTCCTCCCGGCCAGCAGAAGTTAATGCTAACCGGTCCGGTGACTGATATGAGCAAGTATGAACTTCTAATCGGGATATTGTCATTTATTATAAATTTGCAACTTTAATTAACCTAGCTATGGTTGAAGAGATTGAAACCTCCAAGAACAGCAGAAACCCTAAATTCATCTAGTATCACCAGCAGAATGTCAACCCTTCAAAACTAGCCCTAGTGTTATAAATTCTCACCATAAACAAACATAAGTAGAGTAAAATACCTATAAAAAAACAAAATAATCAGTAAATTCCCCAAATTTCCTAAAACAAAAAGGATTTGAGATACTGAAGGAAGAAACAAAATCCAGGAAAAAAAAAGCAAGCAAAAACATAAATAAAAACCAATTTAATTAAAATTTTAAGTTTCGAAGAAAACAAGTACCATCTTCTTCCAAGAAGCAGGTGCTGGAAGCTCAACAGAAATAACTTCCTCCTTACTCTCCATTTTCTTCAAAAGTCAACAACCTCTCTCTCTCTCCCCCTTAAATAAATGTTTACTTTTTCTATTCTTTGAATGTCCCTCTCTCTCTCTCTCTCTCTCTCTCTCTCATATTTATGCGTTTTGTGTGGTAAGAATGGAGTCATCAAAACCGATGAGAGCTCGAGATTATGGTATTTTTATTTTAAAAAATGCATCACATGTCCTATATTTAAAAATAATAATGAATTTATTATATTATTTATTTTTTTAATATGATATTTCAACTCAAAAAATAAATTGATAGCAAGAAGTGATAATCTACGATGCTGATAGTTCATATTAATTGATAACATGACGAATGATGTTATACATAGACTAAATTAGTTTTTTTTTAATTTTGTTCAGCTCATATTGATTTTTTTAGAAGTTTAAGACTTTTTTTAAATTTTTTAAAACATAAACATTATTTTAAATTTTAAATATAAAATTATTCAAATATACAAAAATTAAATATAAAAAATACTAAAATTAAAATTAAATTATTAAAAATTTAAATATTCATATTAAAATACTAAAACTGTTATGAAAATTAAGATTCGTTTAAATATATATCATAAGTTATAAAATGATAACTTATAAATTACTAAAAAAATTAAAAAATAATTTTAAAAAGATATATTATACCTAATATATACATGCAATATATAGACATATCATCAATACTTATATAAAATATTCTTATTAGATTAATCGAGACTTACAAAATTTAAATTAGTCGAGACTTATAAATTTTAGATTAGTAAAAATTTATTATGTTTTCTAATTATATTTTATGTCAAAACTTATTATATAATTATCTTTTATATTAAACGAGACTTACGGAAAAAATAATTAGAAAATAAAATAAGTTTCGACTAATCCAAAAATTATAGGTATCGACTAATTTAAATTTTGTAATTCTTGATTAATCTAATAAGAACACTTTGTATAAGTGTTGCTAATATGCATATATGTTATATGTATATGTTATGTATAATATATATATTTTTAAACTATTATTTTAATTTTTAATAATTTATAAGAATTATTTTATAACTTATTATATATATTATTTTTAAAAAATATATAATAATTTTAGCATTTTTTATATGTATATTTAATTTTTTTAATAATATAAGCATTGTAAGCTGCCACGTCAATACCATAATAGTCAACGAAGGAAAACATTAGTCAAATGACCATATTAGTTTTATTTTTCGAGTTAGAGGATTACATTGGAAAAAAAATAATACGACGACACATTAATTTTTGTTTGAAGTATAGGAGTCTCTAGTGTATTTTTACATATTTTTCTTATTTTTCAGATCAAACTACGAAGCTATAACGTTACGGGCCTACGGCCCGTTTAATGTTGATTTGAAATACAAACCAATGAAAATT